AGGTAGATGGCCCAAAACCCGCTAACTGAATGATTATCTCAAACATATACAAGGGCGAACTCCAGTGGGAAAGTAAAATGATAAAGAAATTAGCAGATACTGGAAGTGTTGAAGATCATCAAAATGCAAACTAGAAGTCAAAATGTAATAGTTGACTACATTTAAAAAATTAGAAATTTCTTTTAAAGGACAGACAAAATTAGCAAAGCTAACAAAAAATGACAGAATGAGAAAAGATTTTCATAACATCTAAAATTTATAGGAGATTAATATCTAGAATACTCTAAGAAGCCTAAGTTTTTCCATTTTTAAAATGAAGACAGGTAAGCCCTGGCTGATATAGCTCAGTGGATTGAGCACGGGCCTGCGAACCAAAAGATTGCAGTTCGATTCCCCATCAGGGCAGATGCCTGGGTTGCAGGCCAGTTCCTAGCAGGGGCCAGATCCCAGCAGGGGATGCACCAGAAGCAACCATACACTGATTTTTCTCTCCTTCTCTCCTTCCCTTCCCTTCTAAAGATAAATAATAAAATTAAAAAAAAATGTAGACAGATAATAGTGGTAGAAAGTGAGGTGCTCAGCACAGAGCCTGGCGTACAGTTAATGCTTTGTTTGCTGTTGCTAGTTCATCTGTTCTTATTCCCTGTGAGAAAACACTTTTGTGTGGAACACTGTATGTGGTCCTTGAATTTCTGGTTTGTGCATGGTTTTATGTTGCTGGCTTACAGATTTGCAGAGAAATGTGCGTGCAAACATCTAGCCAGTCTCAGTATGCACATTCCTATTTGACAATGTCCACCATGAGCCAATGGTTAGAAGAAAAGTGGGGAGAGTGTTAGCGGCACCTCCCGTGACATGGAGGTGAGCAGAATGTGCGCACCGCCGTAACCGAGGAACCAGCTGCCAAGGACCCCTGCCAGAAGATGTAGCAAAAAAAGTATGCTTCATGGCTTCAGGTATGAGCCTTGTGACTGTCATATTCCATCCTACTGAGGCCGTGAGGCCTGGATGTGCCATGTCCAGAGGACAGAGAGACTAGATGAAGCAGCTCCTGACTCTTAGCTGCTTGTCCAGGTCTGACCTGTGCTGGTGGTGGGTAGCAGGGCCTGCTGGGTTTCCTGGGGACTCCATACCTGGGACAAGTTGGCCACAGAGAGGTGGCTTTGCTCATGGCCCACCAAACCTGCTTTCTGAAAGCAGAGCTTTGTCTTTTTGTGCTTTAGAACTTCAGCTTCGAGGAAGAATTTGGCTCTCCCATTGCAGGAAAATGTAGATGATGACGCACAGGGCACAGGGCAGCAAGCTGCCCTCAGTGGCAGTAGTCTGAACTGGTCCCATCCTTGGGCTTAAGGAAGGTAAAGCAGGGCAGCCCAGGCTGTTCTGCAGACAGGGAGGGAAAGGAAAGGAGTGACAACTCTGTGCCCAGCTGTGACACACTATCTCTTTCGATGCCCTGCACCCTGTGAAATGAACATTCTTATCCCCACTTTACAGATGTGGCTACTGCAGCTCAGAGAGGAAATATGGCCCAAAGTTACCCACCCAGCTTGTAAGTGATTCGCTGGGATTTGAACCCTAGGTCTGTTTGAACCCAAGACCCACAGGGGGGTTAGGTATTTTTTGCCCTGCTCCATTCTCTGTATCTGAAGTCTTGGACTGAGGGTGGGTGGGGCTGGGTGAATCTGTGGCTGGTGGACTCCATGTAAGAATGCTTGGCTAGTCCCATCTGTGTCTGATCTTGGCAGGAGGTTTGCTTAGATCCTAGAAAGCAAATTACATTTCCCGGTGCTGCATCTGAGTACGTGCCCCTGTGGTCAGCTGGTTTTAGGTATGGTTTCGATTTCTCAGCGGAAACTGTGCTTCTGTGAAATAATGACATTTTTAGTGTTGTGTTTTCCTTGTCGTTTAGAGAAGGCTGAACTTTCAGGAGACACGTTATACACCATGGCTGGATTCCATGCCCAGGAAGAAGCCAGGCAGGGCCTGCAAGACAGAAGGGGCTTGCCCCCAGGTGGGATTTCATTTCTCTGAACTTCTGGGATCTGAAAGGTACTTTGAAGAACTTGCTTCTTTAGCTGTTAATAGGGACATCTCTTGTCCAGACATTTGCAACTAACTTTTCTTTGTGCTTGAGAGATGACAGTGTTTTCTTACTAGTGCTTTGGAAGTCAGCAGGATTGCCAGAGCCACACATTCTTACCTGTGTCTCTAAGGCCCAAGGAAATGGCTAACAGTGATGATGGTCATGGTGATGAGAATCTCAAACCATTCGCTGTGCATTTGCTATGTGCTGGGCAATCTAGTAAGTTTGCTTTATATGTACAAACACCCACTGAAATATGTGTTATTTTATATTTGTATGACTGCAAAAAAGCAGAAATCCCACTTCAATGACTTAATCAAATGAAAGATTTATTTTTTCTCATGGGATAAAAAGTCCAGTAGCAAGTAATTTTAAGGGGATTCAGGGACCCCAAGATGCTATCAAGAACCTGGGTTCCTTCTCTGGGGCTTTCTTCATCCTGTTTGCAATGTGGCCGTTCTACTTCATGCACCACTTCTACCTTTTCCGAGAGGCAGAAGAGCAAAGTCTAAGTGACAAAAACGAAACAGGTAAATGCAAGTGGATGAACTCCCTCTAACAAACTTTCTCAGAAACTCCAGTTGGTACTCCCATTGCAGCTCATTGTCCAGAACCGTGTTGCATGCTGACATCTAGCTGCAAGGGAGTTTGGTAATCCAAGAATGTTTAAGCAGGAAGAAAGAAAGGAAGGATGAATATTGGCTATGTAACCAGAAGTGCTTAGCTCATATAATTAATATTTGTTCAAAATTTATAGACAAGGAAAGCGAATTAGAGGTTTTAAGTGTTTGCCAACGGTCACCTTGCTAGTGAGTAAGACAGCTCGGACTTGAATCTAGGTGTCTGACTCTGAAGCCACATTCCTAAAAGCTGTGACAGAACTTGTACCTGATACTTGGGGATGGTTAGGATGGAGGAAAAGGTCTTTTGGGGCTCTCCTATGGAAGAGAAAGGACGATTAGTTTGCCAGTTTCTTGAGAATAGAGTGAAGATCAACAAGTAAAATATGGAAAGGCAGATTGTGGCATACAGTATGAAAGTGATTTTACAACAGAGAGTAATTAACTGTGATATGGCCTGTATGGTAGACTCTGGTCCCAGAAACATGTGCAGAAATTAGATGGCCAATCAGAGAAGATCTCTGAGCTGATTGAACATTCCAGTCTATTGTGAGTTCAAGATTCTGGATCTAGGAAATGGAAGTGGCTGATAGATCAATCAGGGTTAGAGAAAGGCCTTCATTTGGGTGTGGAAGCCTCTTAACTTGTCAGAGCAAGAGTGACCGCACAATTAATTTATGATCCACAGCGGGGCATTTTTTGGAGTTACAGGGGGATTTATTAGTAATTACACTGGGTGAGTACCAGTATCATTATAGACCAAATGGGACCTGCGGCCGCCCCAGGAATAGGCTTCTGATGAATAAAGAAATGGGGAGGCCTGGACTTCATAGGTAGTGGCCGAAAGGACAGACACCCCCATGTCAGATCCATCCACTTCCATAAGCTGGACCTTCCAGGGGGCCCTTCTTCACCCATGCTGGAATTTGGGGTAGGTGTCAACCTTTGACAGGCAGGGACCATGTGTGGCTACTAAAAACATGCTTGTGATACGGGTCCTCAAGCCCTAGTCCCTCTAGCACGATTCATTCTTGAGAGACACTGAGCTCAGACAATGCTGTGTTTTTTAGTGAGTCATGAACCTGGTCCATTTTAGTCTGGGAAGGAAACTGGAGTTTACACGTCTTGAAATTTTTCTGATCTTTGAAAAACTGCTCCTTTCAGTGACCTTGGGTGAATCACAACCTCTCTCTATGGTTTGGTTTTTCTTTTAGTGGAAATGAAATGGAAATAATAGCTACACAAAAGAATAAAATGATTCAAGATCTTCCAATGAAAGATGCCAGGTGGAGCCAAGTGATATTCTTATTTTTATGACAGTTATTGCAGGGCCGTCTCTTGTCCCATCCCTCCCATTAGGCCACAGGGCATGGAATAAACACAGGCCTGGCCAGCGGCTGGTATCTGATGATGATGATGGCACTGACATGAAGGGAAGGCATCTCCTTCTGGCTTGCGTTTCAGCATTAACCTCCCCACCCCTGGCTCTCAGTGTGCATTAGTGGGAAACTGGAGGCTGGTGGTGAGCTGGGCTCATTTCATAGCCAAGGTAGTCTGCTCAGGAAACCTCTTAATAACGATGCTATTAAAATATTGTCTTTACTCCTTCCTTAATTCCTTTATTTAGTAAAACAATGATTGTCTCTGTGTACCAGGTTCTGTGTCCCAAGCATGTAGCCGGATGCATAATGACCAACATTAAACTGTCAGAATCAAGGGTTTTCTCTGAGATGTGAAGATTGGACTGTGCTGGCCTCCTGCTGCAATCTTGCATCTCTCCCATCTAACCTGATACCTGAGAGACATGTCCAAATGCAAGCCTGCTCTTGTTACCTATTTCCTAAAAGATCAACACCAAATTTCTCAATATGATGTAGAAGAACCTTTAGGATTTGGTCCCTACTCATCTTTCTGTCTTATCTCTCACTGAGCTGTTTTAGAATCAAGTCCTAGCAATTGGGACATTTTTGTAGGCCCCTAAATATATAGCAAGTATTTTAGATTTGGGGGATCTTACTGTCTCTGTTACAACTAGTCGGTGGTGTAGTTGCAGCATGAAAGCAAACATAGGCAAAATGGAAATGGATGGGCATGGCTGTGTTCAAATACAACTGTTTACAAAAACAGGTGGTGGGCTCAATTGGGTCCATGGGCTACAGTCCGGTAATCTTTGCTCTAGGCCTTTGCTCACGCTATGCTCCTTCACTTGCCCACATTAAGGACCTCTTTGTTCCTCCCTCCTTTATTTGACCATTAACCACTCAATTATTACGTCAAGTCTAAGGCCTTTCCCGACTACCCTGAGTAGAATGGTGACTCACTCCACTGAACTCTGTACCTTCCACCTCCTTGCCTTTGTTTTCTCCCTTAATTGGATTGTACGTTTTAGTTCTTCATTCATGCATTCACTGATTGATTCGCTCAACAATATTTAATGAGGGCATAGTATGGGGCAGAACTGATGATCTTTTAGGTCTTTGTGTAGTACCTAGCAGAAAGCCTGGCATACAAACATGCTTGTTCAGTAAAAGAACTCAACAAAGAAGTTCGTGGTTAAAGATACATTCATATCTTTGGCATAAGTGCCAGAAGTGGGAATTGTCCTCACTGATTTTGGAACCTCTCCGTCCGAGGAAAGATTAAGTCAATTGATTCCATTTGGAGCTTTCCTTTGAAGGTCTCTGTAGTCTGGCCTGCAGTGACGCGGTGGCGCCTGCTGCTATCCCTTCTCACTCCCTTCTCTAAGTCCCGTGGGTCTTGCTTTCTGGTGACTCCGTATGGCAGGGCCAAGAGTAGCAGCACTGACTCGCTCACACAAGCAGGTGACCAATTCATGTAGAATTTTACCAACAAAGTGTCAACACAATTCAGTGGGTTTTTTACTTTTACTTTTTCTTGTATGTAGAAGGCCTTGTTTTTTCCATTGCTTTCTCACAGAACGGGGCTGTCTATACTAAGAAACTTAAACAGTTCACCACATGATGATATTGAAATTGCTTCCTTGCAGTGTCTAAATTTTTTTTTTAATCCATAATCTCTGGCTCTGAGAGTGATTCTGAGGCAAACATAAAAAATGAAGCTTCTCATATTACAGATGGCATTTCATGGATGTATGGAGCCCAAAAGTATTTGAAGGGCCTAAGTCATTTTCTTCAATTTACAATTCATTCTAATATAAGCAGAACATTTATTCAAGTGGTTGTCACCAGTAGAACCAACATGGCTTCATCCCATTTCAACCAGGTCAGATGTGCACTTTCAGTGGTTACCGGGAAGGTTCTATGTTTGTGGTCAGAGGCAGAGAAAAGAAAATGGTTACAGTTGGTTACAAAACAAACACAAAACCGCCACATGGCTTCTCACTTTGTAAGAGCAAATAGGAAAGCAGCCCCAGCTGGGGGTTGTAGCGGAGTGCGTGTTGGGTAAACACTAGAGAAACTGGACAAGGTTCTGGGTCTCTTCACTTTTTTTTTAAATGTAAGAAGCCAGTGTGGGAAGTGGCCGCTGAACAGAGAGTTTAAGATTCTCATTCACGAACTCACCCGCATGGTTACAGAAATTAAGTGAATCTAAGTTCCATCATGCACGATCCTTTTCACTGATGCAGCCACAATCCACCTGACCTGACATTTTAGACTGGCTACATTTATAAGGAAACCATGGTGAGAAGAAATGACATGCTTGTGTTTCCAAGGAGGAAGGGAGGGGCAAGGTCATAATCTGACCTTTGGTTACAAAAGAAAAATAGGGCAGTGTTGCTAAATGACTAGGGCTACAACAGGTAGTAAACACAGCAAGGCCACAGCGGAGGACATGTGTGGCACCAGTGAGCTGACCCTGTTGCGACACTCACGCGATTTGGCGGTGAGGAACTCCTGGCAAGTTCCTCATTTAGTAAGCTGTTGTCAGTACTTTTTCAATGCATTTATAATAGCGTGTGTGTGCATGCACATGTGGAAGTGGGAAAGACGTTGGCAAATGAGTTTCATAAATAAATGTGTTGCTTCTCTGGGGCATTAAAGTTTAAAATAAAATACTGTCTTCACTCTTCTTTCTGGTGGTTCTCATCAAATGTGGTGCCACCACTTGGCAATGTCTGTCAGAGTTAAAATTCACCTGTTTTTTGGGTCTGAATTCTACTTTAAGATATTGATTTAAAGTTCTATTCATGTGTATCTGCGAAAATAAGTTTATGGGAGCCAAAGACTAGAAACTGCCCACATGCCTGTGAGGACGGGGATGGGTCAATTTTGGGACATCCATACAATGCAATGCAGTGCAACCATTGAAGTGAAAGGCAAATCTAACTGCATGTATTTCCTGTGAACCCCACAATATCTTGTTGTTTCTCTGAGGAACAGAGTCTATGTGTAGGAAAGAGGGGCGCCAAGACATGTATATGTCTGTAGAGACGTCCAATGTGTCTGGAAAGGCGCCTGAGAAATAGATGGGTGGCCGCCTCCCTGGAACGAACAGGGAGACTGGGTGCCAGAGGCTGGTGGATACTCACTTTCTACTCCGTGCCGTCTTGCACTGCTCGAAATTTTTGTTGGCCATAAATCATTTTCAAAAAGAATTTTAAAGGAAATGCCACTCTTCCCAGTTAATTAGGGTTTGGCTGGCAGTGGCATCATTGCCCAATGAAACGGACTGAAGTATAGGGTCTGATTCATGCACTAAAAATGGTTGAAAACCCCACAGAAAAAGGGATCTTTTAGTTGAGTGTGTATTTGGGAAGAGTATTTCAGTAACTAATGAATAATAGAGAACATTGATTCGGGCTGCTATTTTTATGCTGACAGTTTGGAATCCTAGAGAGCTCTACAGAAAGCCCAGCGCCTCTCCCCAGGATGCCTGGCCAAGGCCCCTTCATGAAGGGTCCCCCTGACTTACAGTCTGCAAAACCATTAATGAAAGCTTCCCAACTTCTTGTATATTCTAATTTCATAGCTCTTAAAGGGTCATCATTGCCATTTCTCTGTTCTCCTGTGGTTGATTGCAGAATGCTTGGGAGAATAAACACCAGGTGACTCATTACATTAAATAATATCCTGATCATCCTCAGGAGCTGATAAACTCGGTGGACTTTAGAAATCAGTCACGTGACAACTTGGCCGGTTCTTGGTCGGAAAAAGAGATAAGCACAGAAGAGGGGCCAACGCACATCCTTTTGTAAGACCTACCCCTGAGTCAACATTGGGTGTTTTGGGAGAGGGTATGTGACAGGACACCCTTCATTTAGCTAATAGCCTGTGTTATTTCTTGGAATGTTAGCTTTATTGTTAATTAATGCTTCATTTGTCTGTTCCTCTCAAACAGACTGTAAGCTCTTTAAATGCTAGCCTTCTATCTTCATTCATTCACTTGTTCATTTACGGAACAAATATTTAACGTGTAACTACCACATGTGTATGCTTTGCTGAGCCATGGGGCTCAGCAAAGCCCCATGATAAGAATGTGACTTATCATATGATAAGTTGTATTCCTTACTTTCAAGGCATTCACATTTGACCCATCTCTTCACAGTCTGACAGTCTGATTTGTATCTCCTAATGTTGGTTATTGATGCAGAAGGGGCTCAAGAAGGTGCATAATAAATGTTGGTTGATTGAGAAATTGCTCATGCTCTGAACCCATGAAGCTGTGGGTGTGCATTCAATTTTTACTGATGAACTTGCAGTAAATAGCAGATAATTTCTTTAGACCTCTTCAATGATAACACTTAGACATGCAATTTCTATCTTATATCAGATGTTTCTAGACCTGGGAATGAATTCCTTTAGGGCTGATGTTGAAGAGAACAGTTACTCTGGCCCCAAAATAGCCAGGGCTATGAACTCCTTAGGAAGCAGGCTCACCTCTCACACGGACAGATGCCACACTAACAAAGAGCAAGGAGGAGGGAAGGTGGTCAGAGAAGCTACCATTTTCTGAGCATCCAATCACGGCCTGGAGCTCCTCACTCTTCACTTTATTTAGCAGACAACCTCCCAAGGAACATGGTGACCCTGACGTGGGGAAAAACAAATTTTTGTTGGCCTCTTGGTTAGTAGGTGTTAGATATATTTGTAAGCATTTATGCATGTATTTATAATTAACAATGAAATACTTACCAAACACTCTTCTAGGGGCTAGGTATTTAAAGATGTATAAACCACAGTCTATGCCCCGAAAGAGGCAAATGATATAAAGAAACACACCCAAAGTTAAATAAACCTCATGAAAATGACACAACAGTAACCAAGAGGATTTTAGAGCTGGCTGAATCCACAGCAAACATTTAATCTAGAGTTTCCTTCCTAAAAGGGCATGTATGCATCGTTGGTGGCATGCAAGTGGTTATATCTGGGTGTTATACAAACACTTTAAAATTTCATTAGGTATTTATTTTAACATGTGTTAGAAAAATGTATTAAGTCCTGCATCAAACCCTTGGTTACATGGATATTTCATCTTACTGAAAAGTTACATAGGTAAGTGAGTTGCTTTAAAGATGTTGTAATAAAAAGTATCAAGTAAGTAGCCAGGTAGAGTTGTGATTCTGGCATGTGGTAATGATTCTGTCATTTGAATGTGTTATTTGCATGATCTGAGTTTGGGAAATGCAGATCGAGTCCAGTTTCTGGGATGCAGAGAGCTTAAATGAGTTGTTCACACTCAAGAAGCCAGTAGAGACCATGGATGAGAAAGCGGTCGCCTGACTGGCCTCCTACCCCACAGCCTCAGCCACTGCTTCCTGTTTTGCAGATGAGGAAACTGTAGCCCTGAATAACAAGTCCCCTATGTGAGTGCAAAGGCTCACATGAGAATCTACTAGCAGAGTAAAAAGATAAAGTATCATGAAAAGTCAAAGTTAATTTTATAGAGTGCTTACTATGCATGCCATTATTATGAAAATTTCATACACACTAATTTACGTTAATTCCCAAGCCACTCCTTGAGATGTACATAGCTATTTCTAGTATTCCTTTGTTCATGAGGAAATTAGCAAAGATCAAATAACTGTCTGAAGAGGCTAACTTGCAGGGTTGGGACCTGAACCCAGGTAGTTCAGTTTCAGAATTTGTTCCCTTAACCACTATACACACAGCTCACCAATAGTAAGTGAAGAGGTGAAAGAGGCAACCTGTCTCTCTGGTGAAACTGGAAACAGTCTGCTCAGGCAACGTACTGTTGTCCTGTGCCCTCCTGTTTCAAGTTCCCCAATTAGTCCCTTGCAATTTCACAGAAGACATCGTTTCTTTAAACCATGACTTTTTAATGTGCAGAAGCTCCTGAGAGGAATCAGTGACTTCCAAAAGCTACACTCCCGTAAGGAAAACTCGTTAGATTACTGTGTAAGAAAGGGGGGAAGGGTTTTCAGAAACAGCTATGAAGGACGCATGGACAAAACCAAGTGGGGGCGTAGATTGAGGGAAGGGAGGTGGGAATGGCTGGGGTCGGGGAGAGTGGTGGTGGGGAAATGCAGACAACTGTACTTGAACAACGATAAAAAACTAAGTAAATAAGATAAAAAATTTTACATAAAAAAAGAGAACTATATAGCAATAGTCCCACCCTGAAAGGGAGGAGAGGGAGAGAATCAGGAGAAGTGAATAAAGAGAGGAATAATTTGGGGACACAGTGGAGCTGAGAGTGACACGGAAGAGCAGGCCCATATAGGACTGGCCCGGTGCGCTGCAGGGGGCACCAGGTGTTGTGAAGGCCTTGCTCTGTGCTTGGCATGGCACTGGGCACAGCAGGTGCTCCAAAGCTTTGTTGAGTGAATGGAAGCTTGGATGGAAACAGGAGCCGGCTACGTGAGTACAGTGATTGGAGGTGAAAGGGCATCGAAGGGCTCGACCTACTTTGTAACTGTGCTCCAGGTAAGCGGGGGAAGGAGAGCACAGCACATTTCCAAACAACAAAGGAGCTATGACCAAAGCGTTTAAAGGGCTTCTGATGTAACTAGGATGCTTTATTTTGGGGGAATCCTTTTCATTTTTGTCACCTCTTGTAGCAGCCCCTGTTCAATCTTCTGGCAGAGACTTTCTTAGATTAAAAGTCCTCATTATCCCTCCCTCCCTGGTGCTTCAGGTTAGGCCAAGGCCGTCCAGGGACCAGAGCCAGCCAGGCCCCTCTGGGCTGGTGGTCAGCCTGTGCAGTTTTCTCCAGCTCAGCAGCAGGTGCTGACAGCTGCACCATTCCATGCACCTTTGGGGCAAAGAACTGCTGAAATCAGGGCCAAGTTCAGAGCCAGAAAATGCTTCCCGAGGCTGTGAGGAGAGGCCTGAGGGGCTGCTCAAGCATTACATAAGTTGGATGTTAGCACCGCTGATGCACAGAGCCCTGAATTGCACAACTCTTACGCAGGAGCACTTGTTAAGTGTTGCAACATGACTCCTCAGTCTTATCAAAATGTGAAACAGCCACCCAGCACACACTCAGAAAACACTAAAGCTCTTCTCCAGCAGATGGTTAAGACTGCTGATCCAGCTGACAGGAGAGAAGCAGCGCAGGGGGCATGACTTACTGTAGCTCTTGGCCCGGGAAGCTGAACACTCAGTACCCTGTACTCCACTAGCCTTGGGCAGCACAGGAGTCTGATAAAAGGTACTGTTTTGGGTGTTTGTTTTTCCTGGCAGTCTCATTCGGGGTTATAAATGGCTCATTATTTCCATCCCATAGATTCATTCTTGCCTCTATTATGTTCTCTTCTTGCTTTCTGAAATAACCAAAAGGCTGGTAAAATCATCACTGAGAAGCCCGTGTGTTCTGACCTTGAGCTGAGGCCGAGTTGCCACATCGTTCTTGCCGTCTACAGTTGCTGCCACGTGGGAGAAACTGGCTGGAAAGGGCCCCGAGAGCAGGTGCCAGGAGGCGGCACGGGTTTTCACACACTGCATTCTCACAGCCTTGTCAGAGGACTGTTAGGCAATCGCCAGAGGTTACGAAGTTGGAACAGCATTCTCCTCGGATAGGTCATTTTTCCTGCAGGGCAGCTTAGAGGCAAATTTCATTAAGTATCAGGTAGCTGATCCAAAGCAGTATAAATAGCGAGGGATCATGTGACGAACGCAGAACTGAATGTGGTCAAATCCTGGGCTGAGTGCGTGTGATGTGTTTACTGTCACCAGCACCTGCACGGAGACGTTCACCCAGCAACCGTCTAGGAAAGGTGTTAAGGCACAGAAATGGAGATATTAGGGTTTCGTCTTAGAAACTAATTTTATTCCCACTTTGAAAGCTTGCTGACCACACAGTTACCAAGAAAAGGACCTGTGAATAGGCTAGATGTGCTTAAGTGTCATTGAAGAGAAGTAGAGACTGATTCTTATAAAACAGGCTAAGTTCATTCAGGTAAGAGGTAGGGGGAAAAGCATGGTTTATAGTGGGGAAACTGTAAGCAGTCTCTATCAGGTAAAAGGGACCTTCAAATTAGACATGGAGGGCCTTTTAATTCAGGCTCATTTTCTCCCATTGTTTCTTATTTTATTCAGAATGTAACCAGTGGGAACCACACTTGAATGAGGCTCACTGGGCCACAGACGACTGGTTACGAGAGGCCATCAAGGTTTCTCAGGCCAGTTGCCTAGACCAGCTGCTTCGTCAGTCCTGTCCCCATTGGCTGGAGCTGCTGACATTCCACAAGACAATCTTGTGTTCTCACAATGGTGGGAGGAGGCTCTGGGAAGACACGGCGTAACCTGGACGACAATGGAAATTGTTGAACGCTCCCACTCAGAGACAGCAAGCTTCCAAGGTGTCCTGGCCCAGTATGCACTGCAGCTTCCTGGCTCCCTGGTAAAGGAAGACTTCTACTTCATCAGGATCTAAATTCCAAAACTATTGGGAAGGGTGGCAGTATTGTTAGTGTCTGGACCCTTCGGAGAAGACAACAGCCCCTGAATATATCAATTCTTGTATGTTTATTAAAAATCAGTATCTTTACTTTGTATCTAGGACCAAGACCAAAAGGGCCACAGGAGTTCAGAGGCCAGAGCGACCACGAAGGGCTGATGCCGTCAAGAGGTGCCTCCCAGAGGGTGTGGGGCGTGGGTGGGGCATGGCTTTCCCCAGACTCACCTCACTCCCCCGGCTGTTCACTCCTTTCCCAATAGTCACTCTCCTTTTTTTTAAAATTAGTAAAATGACCCCCAAATGGCAATGTGCCTGGTTAAAGACTACATTTCCCAGCCTCCATGAGGTCTAAGGAGATGTTATTGTGTGTACAGTGTAGCCAGATAAAATATGGTCTGCCTAGTTAATTTTTAATTTCAGATAAACAAATAATTTTTAATACAAGTATGTCCCATCTAACATATTAGTATTTTTATTTGCCAAATCTGGCAACCCTATGGGTGGAACTTCTGGAAACGAGGGACGTGCTCTCCCTGCCCCCTCTCTTTTCCTTCCTGGGACATGGATGGAATAGCTGGGACTTCAGCAACCATTTTGGATCCTGAGGTTAGATGTCAGAAGAGGAGGACAGAAAACCTGGGTCCCTAATGACCACACACCTTCTGACTTTATGTGTGAGATGAAAGCACTGATTTGCTTTAGCCACGAATACCTGTTATTTGTACCCAATTGCTATTCCTAACTGGTATAGCCGTAATAAAATGTGCTCTGTTATTTTTGCCATTAACGCTGCCATTGTTGCCTTTGCCTCTTAATAACATAAACCATTAGTTTTTACTTACTATATATTTTAAGGACCCCAAGAGGGAATGGATTGTATTCCCTACACCCTTTAAAAATGACAGCTCTTAGCATGAGTTTCTACACAGCATTATGACTAACTATTCTGCAAATAACATTTAGGTATTTTGAGTAATTGCTTCAGAATAATAATAAGAATATTATGTTCATAATAATATTTCTGAAGCAGAACAGTTCTTATCTCTGCACAAAGATTTGGCATGAAAACTCAGTTCCTGTGATGCTCCAGAAATCCAGAGCCACATTTCAAAACAGTAAAAATCACATTTGAGATTCGACATCCTGCTTTAAGAAAGTTTCATTTTATATAGTTTAAGTCTTCATTAGTCCTTATATCATCAGAGTCCCTTACATGCTGTAAAGATTAGCTAAGGATAGTCATGAGCGCAGGTAAAGCTAATTTGCAAAGCTCCATCAGTAATCAGGAATGATGTAAAACAAAACTCCATTGGCCTTGTTAGCAAATTGACTGGTCTCCACGTCCACTGTGAGGCATTCCGGGAAATGGAGGTAGTCATAGAATTGGCCTCTTTACATATAAGCACAAGCTCACTAGTTTAGCTCACTTGTTATACAGAGGGGAAAAAAAGTTCCCCAGGCTGTGAACTCTGTAAGTACCTGCCTTCTGTTCTGCAGTGGAATCTCTCAAAGGTTAAGTAATAGTAAATAATCAACTAAGATTTCTCAGATTGGCTGCATTGACCTTTCTCTGAAAGAAAAATTTCCCCGTGAAGACAAAACAACTTTGGAATAAGAGCAGTATTTCCTGCTTCAGACGTTCAGAGAACAAGATCAGGCCCGGCCTGACTGGCAGAGGCTGCCTGGGGCAGACAGCTAGACTTGCTATGTGGGTGAAGGGAGGTAAGTTAGAATTTAACAGAAGGGAGGGGAAGAAAACTCCCATTTCATTTTGTAAGTTTCTGCACAGGCTTTTCAGCAATGTTCATCAGTAAGAAAGAGGCAGGCAGTGTCTTGCTCCATTGTGGGGACACAGAGTCGGGAGTCAACTCCTGGGAGGTGGGTTATATTACAAAGGAACAAGCAACATAAGTAACACACAAATGGTGAAAAAATAACTCAGAAGAGCTGGCCTGATGTTTGGTAACAGGCCATGATGTTATAATGGTTAGCTCAGAGGAGATGATGGGTGAGTCCATTTGCATGTATCTGTATTACAGATTCCAATAAAAGTTGGACTGATGTGAGCTCGGGAAAAAAAAAAACCCAAATCAATCTGTTTATTAGTGTTACCTACACAGTGTTAAAGGAGAAGGAACTTATTTCTTTTGTCCAGGGTACATTGCTTTCTATTTTATATATTTATATAAATATATTTTATATTTGTAAACATAACAGGGTACACGGTTATGTTTATATGGATTGCCCATTCAGCAAGCATTTGTTGAGACCCAATCTGTGCCAGGCATTGTGCTAGGTGCTGGGAATGTACCCAGTCTTGTGGTGCCGGTGGCCTAAAGGAGAAAAATGCCTTTGAACTTCATAGATAGGTTAGAATTTCACAAAACCCCTTCATTCCCTGCCCTCAGTAAAGCACAACAGAGCCAGCCACCTGGCTGCACTGTGATCGCTTAAGACCATGACAATTTCTGTTCAAAACAAAAGTGTATATAAAACATTGGTAAATTTTTAAAGCCTTATTATAAACCCTGTAGCAAAAACCAGAAGACCTTTTTATGTTAGAAATCTTTTCTCTGCTGCTAAACAATAACTCTGGACAAATTCTTTAATTTCTCTGGGACTAAGTTTAAATAAACATTTCTACAGAGAGGTGGTAGAAGGTAGCACTAGGCTTATTTAATGACTCAGGGTTTAGGACAAGCAGTAAAAGAGGTTAAGAGGCAGACAGCTACTTACTAGCCACTCATTTACTGTAGGAGCTCACGGTAGTTACTTAAACCTCTTAATATCTGTTTCCTGATCTGAGAAATGGGGATAATGTGATATTCGTTGTGAGGGTGAAATGGAGGAATGGGAAATATACTGGGTTCAATACAGGGCACATGAGAAATCGCTCAGTCAATATAGCTATTTTTAGCCTACTCAAAACTGTTTGAATTTTGACCGATTGTACATGTGTATGTGTGTGAGTGTGCATCTCTGTGTCTCTGTGTCGATTGTCATCACTGATCTCTTATTAAGTTGTTAATTGAGGGATCTCAACATATTAGGGCACAAACATGTAATGGATTCTTTTTTTTCAGTCAGTACCTGCAGTGGTGCTATGTCTAATCCCTTTTTCTATTCCTCAACAACGCCTAGGGTGGATTGTAGAAATTAGCAGTTCTTAAAAGCTAGGTCCGTGCAGGTAGACTCTCATCCCGCTTCACAGCCTCTCTCCTCTCTCCCTGCTTTCCCAGGCTCTGGCTTCTCCAGTGTGCGGGGCTGTGGGGAAGGGGTGGGGAAGAGACCGGATCCCTGTCTGTGGGTCTCTCACCCTGCGGGTGCCGTGTCTCAGGCTAAAGCTGTGGGCATGTTGGTGCCCCTGTGTGGTGGGTGCTGAAAGCTGGTGGCACATTTTGTGTCTTTGGAGGCCTCTGCGAAGCTCTCCACTAGACAGTTCAATGCTCTAGAAGACTGATCTGGGACAGACTTCCTCACCTCCCCAGTCCCCGCCCGGCTGTCACCTCTCCAGCCTGTGGTTACACTGCGGCTCTACCTCTCTGTTGTCCAGGGGGTTGTTTTGCTTGTGTGTACTTTCACTGATATTTGAATTGTATTCCAAGAATGCAGTGTTTGCCCTTTGATGCTTAGAGCTCTCACTCATGTTGACTACTGGCTGAGATACAGATACAAGTAAATAATGGCACGAGGGGCTATGCTATGTCATCGTCTTGGTCTGATCCCAGGAATTTACTTGTCTTTTTATTAGTTCAGACTCAAACTCCTTCATTAAAAACAAGGTAGTTAATAAAGTGATCACTTTGTTTATATATATGTTATTATATATAATTTTATATAATATACTTCATATTGTATGTTATATATTCTATCCTAATATGTAATGATATATAATATTATACTTCTGTCAGAGAAGGCACTCTTTCCCTTAAGTTTTAATTGAAAATGCTTTTATTGACTACATATATTATATTAATATATTTATTATATATTTTAATATTATTATATATCTTATACTTAAATACATATTTATGTATCAGTAAGGTCATTTTCATTTCAAATTTATTAAAGGCTAGAGCTTCTGCTCTGATGAAAGGTAGAATCTAGTTATTCATCTACAAAATGGAGGCATAGATGAAAACACTGTACCTCCTCGCACAACCAAATTTAAGGACAGCAAAGATTTAGAAACAAAAACACAATCAGAACAGATAGAAAATTAAAGTGTACTGAAGTCCAACAACAACAAACCATTCATCCAGACCAGTAAGAGGGGTGGAGTCGGCAAATGGCAGAAAGAGGTCACGGCAGGAAAAAGTGGGGGTTGGCAGAGTTGGGCGCAGGGAGGAAACGAGCAGACCCAGTGAGGCGCGCAAGGCGGTTGGATGACCGTGGACAAATATTTGCGCGCAGATAAACCAGGTGAAAATGGGCAGCGAGACAGATCATGCAACCAGGGTCCCAGTGCTGGGAAATAAAGACTAAAAGCACCAACTGGAAAAACCTGTGGGGGTTGAGGTGCAGGGAGAGGCTCCCAGCCTCATCGGAGAGTTCGTTAGAGAGACCCACAGGGTCCTAGAACATACACAAGCCCACCCACCTGGGAACCAGCACCAGAAGGGCCCAATTTGCTTGTGGGAAGTGGCAGAGAGGACTGAAATCTGAGAGAGAGCAGAGCAAGTGCCATTGTTGCCTCTCTGACCCCACCCCCACATACAGTGTCACAACCCAGCCACTGCCACCCTGGTGAACACCTAAGGCTCTGCCCCTCATATGTAACCAGGTAAGACCAGATGAAAAAATTAGGGCTCAAACAGAAGAACAAATCAAAGCCCCAGGGCCAATACTTTTAAGTGACCAAGAGATAGCCAACCTATCAGATGCACAGTTCAACACACTGGTGATCAGGATGCTCACAGAACCGGTTGATTATGGTCACAAATTAGATGAAAAAAAAAAAGAAGGCTACACTAAGTGAAATGAAGGAAAATGCATAGGGAACTAACAGTGATGGAAAGAAAACTGGGACTCACATCAGTGGAGTGGATCAGAAGGAAGAAAGAAATAACCAAACAGAAAAGAATAAAGAAACAAGAATTCAAAAATATTGGGAGAGGCTCAGGAACATCTAGGACATCTTTAAATGTTCCAGCATCTGAATTAAAGGGGTACCAGAGGGGAAGAGGAAGAGCAACAAGTGGATAAGTTATTTGAACAAATAATGAAGGAGGACTTCTCCAATCTGGCAAAGGAAATAGACTTCCAGGAAGTACAGGAAGCTCAGAGACTCCCAAAGAAGGTGGATCCAAGGAGGAACACACCAAAGCGTATCATAATTACATTACCCAAGATAAAAATGAAGGAGAGAATTCTAGAAGCAGCAAGAGCTAAGGGGACAGTCACCTACAAAGAAGTTCCCATCAGACTGTCAAAGCTGATTGGAGAAATCAGCTCTGATTGTCAAATCAGAGCTAATTTCTCAAAACAGAACTTACAGGCAAGAAGAAGCTTGAAAGAAGTATTCCAAGTCATGAAAGGCAAGGACCTACATTCTCTAAGATTGCTCTATCCAGCAAAGCTTTTATTTATCATAGAAGGGCAGATAAAGTGTTTCTTAGATAAGGTGAAGTTCAAGGAGTTCATCATCACGAAGCTCTTATTATATGAAATGTTAAAGAGACTTATCTAAGAAAAAGAAGATAAAAAAGATGAACAGTGAAAGAACAGCAAACTCACAGTTATTAACAACCATACCTAAAACAAAAGCAAATTGGGAGTGGAGCCACAGAAATAGAGATCACATAGAGGGTTAGCAACAGGGGAGTGGGAGGAGGGGAAGGGAGGAGAAGGTACAGAGAATAAGTAGCATAGGTGGTGGGGAGAAAATAGACAGGGGGAGGGCAAGAGTAGTGTGGAAAATGTAGAAGCTAAAGAACTTGTGACACATGGACATGAACTAAAGAGGGGGAATGTGGGTGGGAGGGCATGTGCAGGGTGGAGGGGAATGAAGGGGGAAAAGGGACAACTGTAATGGCATAATCAATAAAATATATATAAAAAAAGAATCTAGTTGTTCATCTAATCAAATTTTTATTTAAATTTATGTTCTGGCACAATGATGTATCCATTTCTTTTAGTGAGTATTTAATACACCCATAAACTTTCTGGTGCTTCAAAAAAACTTCAAAAAATTATGATGTAACTTACATAAAATACATAAATTTTAGGTGTGCAGTTTAATGAATTTTACATACAGGGAGGGGCAAAAGTAGGGTTAGAGTTGCTGGTGTGGAAAACAATACAATAATTAATAAATAATGATACAAAATAAGCTCTGTTTTGAATACTCACAACTATAAACCTACTTTGTTTTTTTTTAATTTTAATTGTTGTTCAAGTACAGTTTTCTTCATTTTACCCACCCCCCCACCTCCCACCTCCCTCCCATATCCACTCCCCCTTGTTATTGTCCATGTGTCTTTTATACTTGTTCCTGCAAACTCTTCCCCTTTTCACCTGAAATTCCTTCCCCTCTTCTCTCTGGTCACTGTCAGCCTGTTTTCTATTTCAGTGTCTTTGGTTAAATTTTGCTTGTGTAAACCTACTTTGTGTATCCATCTATGTGCCATGAAGTATAAACACTTGAAGTATATTTTATATTATACCTTCATTATGCCTGTTTTCATTTCTACCTTAAAACTAGCTAATTTAAAAAAGAAGTG